CTGCTATTATTAAAGGACCCAATCAACACAATTGTAGAGGAGAAAAGGTTTATGTAGGGGCTCATGGTTTCAGAGGTCTTAATTCATAGAAAGCCTGCTCCATTCCTCTAGGCTCAGGCTCCAGGTAAGGCAGAACATCATGGGGAAAGAGTATGGCAGACAGAAGCAGCTCACGTGGTGGTCAGGAAGCAGAGAGAGAGACACTTCACTCACCAGATACAAATTTTTCTCCAAAGTATACACCCAATGCCCCATCTTTCCAGCCACACTCCACCTACATTCAGTTACCATTAGGTAGGTGATTAAATCACTGATTGGGTTAAGGCTCTCGTAACCCAATCATTTCTCCTCTAAACCTTTTTGCATTGTCTCACACATGAGCTTTTGGGGGATACTTCACATTCAAACCATAACATGAACTTTTCAGCTATGTGAACGTGGATAATCAACCAACCTCTCTGAGTCTCAGTCTCTTCATCTGCAAACCTGAGAGTATAACATCCATGACCTAGATTTCTGGTTAGCAAAGAAATGACACATTCTAAAATACATTATAAACTATAGATTGTTATAATTGCAAAGACCTGTAATAATTTCTTGCTTATTGTTTTACTGAAATTTAATATTTCTAATTTGAGGTGATTTTGATGCTAAGTATTTGCAAATGATTGTAGTGCTGTTTTGAGGAAGGTCTAAATATCTGGACAATATACAATAAGTTTTTAGCTGAGCATAGTGGTGCACTCCTGAGACTCAGGAGGCTAGGACAGGAGGATCGCAAATTCAAAGCTAGCAATTTAGTGAGACCCTAAGCAATTTAGCGAGACCCTATCTCAAAATAAAAAATAAAAAGGGCTGGGGATGTTGCTCAGTGGTTAAACACCCCTGGGTTCAATTTCTGGTTCAGAAAAAGGAAGGAAGGAAGGAAGGAAGGAAGGGAGGGAGGGAGGGAGGGAGGAAGGAAGGAAGGAAGGAAGGAAGGAAGGAAGGAAGGAAGGAAGGAAGGAAGGAGAAAAGGAAGGGGAAAAGGAAAAGAATAAGATTAGCCAGGCATGATGGCACAAGTTGGTAATCCCAGCGGCTCAGGAGCCTGAGGCAGGAGAATCACAAGTTCAAAGCCAGCCTCAGCAAAAGTGAGATGCTAAGCAACTCAATTAAACCCTGTCTCCAGATAAAATACAAAATAGGGCTTGGGATGTGACTTGGGGATGTGCCTTGAGTTCAATCCCTGGTACCCCCCCTCCAAAAAAAGGAAGATTTTAATTTTAACCTTAAAAGTTGGATTTTTTAATGAGAACAAATCTATCATGATATTGAGTTATTATAGTAATAGTTCATAGCAGAAATTAGTTACTGACATCTCAAAACCCAACTTGGAATATTCATATGTAACTAAACTGCTACATAAATTAATATAGTAGTATTTTGTGCATTTTAAAACTTAACTTCTAGCCAGGCATGGCAGTGCACAACTGTAATCCCGGTGGCTTGGGAAGCTGAGGTAGGAGATCTTGAGTTCAAAGCCAGCTTTAGCAAAAGCGAGGTGCTGAGCAACTCAGTGAGACCCTGTTTCTAAATAAAATACAAAATAGGGCTGAGGCTGGGGCTCAGTGGTTAAATGTCCCCAAATTCAATCCCCGATACCCCCCAAAAAAAACTAAAAAAAAACTTAACTTCTGATATGTCTAACACACAATCAAAATATCCTCAAGGGAAGAGGTGTATTTCAGTGGTAGAACACTCCTTTAGCATGCCATGGGTTCCATTCTCAGCCCCGAAAACAAAAAACTGGCATTGGTGGTAGAATGGTGTGTGTTTTATGATGTGTTGCTAAGATTGCTCTACATCTAGTATTCGAATTGAAATATATTGTAAATCATTTCCAACAAAAAACTCTTTGGGCTGGGTGTGATGGCACATACCTATACTCCCAGCTCCTAGAGAGGCTGAGGCAAGAGGATCTCAAGTTCAAGACTGGGCAACTTTGCAAGTCTTTTCCTCCCTCCTCCTCCTCCTCCTCCTCCTCCTCCTCCTCCTCCTCCCTCTCCTCCTCCTCCCTCTCCTCCTCCTCCCTCTCCTCCTCCTCCCTTTCCTCTTCCTCCCTACCCTCCTCTTTCCTTCTTCTCCTTCCTTCTTTTTCTCTCTTCCTCCTCCTCCTTCTTTTTTTAATAGTAATAGAGATTGAACCCAAGGCCTTGTACATATTGCAGGCAAGTACTGTACCACTGAGCCACATTTCCAACCTAAGCCTCTGTCTCAACGTAAAATTTTACAAGGGACTGGAGGTAGAGCACATGTGCAAAGCCCTGGATTCAGTCCACAGCACTGGTGAAAAAGAAAAAATACTAAGGCCAGGCATGGTGGAACACATCTGTAATCCCAGCTATGATGATGTGTGAACTCCATGATGACTTCTTCCCACTTAGCATAGGACTATTTTGGTTTTATTGTATTACTTATGGGGATGACAGGTGGTGGCATAATCTTTCTGAGGAGTCTACTACTACTTTTCCTCATCCCTTCCTGACAAAGGGAAAAAAAAGGAAAAGAAAAGAGGAGTGAAAAATGCCCCCACTGTGTTTAAAGAAGACAACCATCCTGGACAGTTCTGATATCTTAATCACTCAGTGTTGATTTATGAGTCAACAGATATACTAAGGAAGGAACCAAGCTTCAATTGTACCATTGAGTGGCTGAGCATTGTCTAAGATACATGTGAGAACAGCAATGTTAAGCCATCGTGTTCCATAATATTTAGTTTTGTTAGCAATCTCCAAGTCAATTATACAAGTAATAAAACATCAGGTCAGTCTTTCCTGCTTATCAGAACAAATGCTATTCTAATTCCACCAGAATAGTCTCCCTTCTAAGGGAGAGGGAAGAGTTAAATGGAAATTTATGCATACACTTAAATTTGTATATTGGTACCACCAAATTACCAAGATTTGTGAAAATAAAATGTTCAGAAAGTGACTAATCTCACAGAATAATTTTTGCCTTATTTTGTGATTCCATTATTTAATGATTCTGGAGCCTTTGATTTGAATTTGGATTTGTGAGGGTCTTTGCATCTGTCTCCAGGTGGGAGAAGCCAGAATGATGAATTTAGGTTACAACTCATATACATTCTAGCCAAGTTTATAGTTGAGAGATGAATTATTTAGATTTAATTGCATATCAATAGAGGAAATAACCTCTAATAACTGAATTGTCTCCTTGACTTTGTCTTGTATCTTGTCTATTTCTTGGTTGTTGGCTTTTGGGTTTGGGGGTTTGTGTGTGTGTAGCTCTAGGGATTGGATCCAGGGCATCAAGTATGCTAAGCACATGCTCTACTACCAAACTACACCTCCCATTTCCACTTTCTTAGGTACTTTTTCTAGTAAAATCACAAGAAATTAGCTTCAGTTGTTAAATACTTTCACAATTCAATTTTCAATTTTTTACTTCTTAAAAATATATTTATTAATTGTTGATGAATATTTATTTACTTATTTATATGTAGTGCTGAGAATCGAACATAGTGCCTCACACATGCTAGCAAGCACTCTACCACTGAGCCACAACCCCAGCCCTCAGTTTTTTGTTTAGATGCTACACTAGGTGTTAATATCTTTGAAAGAGAATTTTTAAATCTACCACCTCTTAAATTTTCCTTTAAAAATTTATAGTGTTATTAATAAAGACTAGTCCAATAAATGTAAAATATGTAGAAGAAACAGATATTTTGGGATTTTTTCAGATTCATGAAGTTTGAAGCTCCTATATAAGATTCCCCTAATACCTGACTTGGTGAAACTCATTCCAATTGAAAAAGTGCTTATTAAAAAAAGTGTAATCTTGAGAGAATGCTTAAGTGTATATGGGGTGTGGAGAATCTTTATCCAAAAATTTTTACAAAGCAGGGTCTTAATGTTTGCAAAGCTGTTTACCACTTAATACACTGCCACTTACAGGACTTCTCTTTTCAGCATACTACAAAGGGAATAGAAATAAGGCACAAAGAAGGAATGAAAGAATGAAGGTAGGTAAATAGACATTCTTAAATCCCTCTTTTCCCTTAACATTTTAGGAAACTTCTCAGTAACTGACATCTATGAGGAAAATATATTGCCAAAAAGACCCCTGAAAGACCATTATGTCAGGAGAGTACAGGAAGATAGAAGAGATTGTGGAGGGAAGGAAACCAAGGGAGAAAGATCTGTAATGGAACAAACCCAAGCTTCTATTACATAGACTTGCTTTTTATAAGGTTGTTAAAATCAAATTTGGTTTATATGGGGGACCGAAGTTATGTGGGCCAGATGATTAAGTTCTTTTGTCATTGATGAGGTTTTATTCAAGATTTTGCTAAAGGAATCTCATACCACAAGCTAATATTTGCTTCTCTACTTTTGGTCACAAGTCACCAAAAGCCAAATGTACTTATCTGTGTTAAGGGCTTTACAAGGGACAAAAGATCATTCACTTGTTGGGTTCCCAAGCAGCCTTATATAAACTCAAAGTTGGAAACTATCTGGAGAGTTCACAATAATGGCCACCACGAAGGGGAAAGACAAAGAAGGAAGGCAATTAAAGCTAGCCAGACTCTCCAGTTTCTCCTGGACTGATGATACCCTTGATTTAGCTCAGGGTGTCAGATCTCTACACTGAGAGCTAAATGGGAATTGGATTTACACTCTCAGCACAAAACAAAATAACCTAGATAGTTAAACTTAGTCATTTGAAGTAGACAGAGCTTAAACCAGAAGATCAGTTGAACATCGAAGGTGCACATGTTGACATCTATCTTCACAGTAGTTCCCATAACTAACAACATAGGCCATATTTGCCTATGAAATATATTATCCTGAAGATTGAGCGCAGAGAGGAGCAGTAATGAAGTGCGGCAAATACCAAAGAAAGGTGCGTGGGCTAACGTAGTATCAGTGGAAAAGGAAAAGGTAGCAGAACATGTTGTAGTACTTGTACCCTTCAAATAATAACACACACACACACAATTGAGTAGGTAGAATTTGTTAATGTAAGAAAATTAGAGGTAATTCATAGCTTGTAGTGGACCCAAAGTATTGGAATAGAGATAATACACAGACACAAAAATATACACACACACAAATGCTCAAATGTACACATTGTTTTTCAGTTTAGCTGCTGCTGCTTTTCCTGACTCCACAGCAGCACATAGGTTAGAGGGTTCTAGAAGGTTCCAGGTATAGAGTTCTACACTACTCAGAAAATATGTGGCTAGCAAGACAATCTTTGTTTTCTCCTAGATGGTTAGGACTTCATGAACAGTGGAGTCCTTAGAAGCAGATGTCAGCTAACAATGATAATACCCAAAAAATACAGTAGACTTTCACAGACTTGATTCTAAACCTAATCCTAACTGATGATAGGGTGGTCTCATCACCTCCATACACACCCTCACATGTCCAAAACAGGCTACTTCAACTGTTGTCACAGTCTAACGTGGTAATATGTCCCAGAGATTCATGGAAAGAAATGGCTGGAGGCCATAAGAGTCTGGGCACCGTAATCTCTTGGGACTGTGTCTCCATGAAGAAGGCCCTTCTGTTGTCAGGCTCAGCTGGAAACCAATTCACGGGGAGGGGAGAGGCAAGGTGGGACTCATCAGAGCTAGAGGTGGCAACAACTGGGAAGTGTTTTCCTCTCTGGAGTGTTTACACAGCATTCAAGCGGATGTCCCCGCAGGGAATTTCTGTTGGTGTTTCTGGAGTGATACTTTTAATAATGCGCTGTTAGGAAGAAAAAACAATGTTACAGTCTTGTAATTTAGCAAAATTACAAAAATATTTCAACATTAATATTAAAGCTTAAATAGCATTTTACTAACACTTAATAGTAAGTTGGAACAGTCTCAATGACTTTTCTTTTTTATTGGAAAGATGCTTAACCACTGATTCACATCCCCAGCCCTTTTTTATGTTTTATTTAGAGAGAGGGTCTCACTGAGTTGCTCTATAGGGCCTCACTTAGTTGCTGAGGCTGAGTTTGAGTTCAAGATCATCCTGTCTCAGCCTTCCAAGCTGCTGGGATTACAGGCATGTGCCACTGTGCCTGGCACTGACTTTTAAGAAGGAAATTCCCAGCCTTGTAGGTGCATGCCTGTAATTCCAGCTACTCAGAAGGCTGAGGCAGGAGGGTGGCAAATTTTAGGCCAGCCTTGACAATTTAGTGAGACTCTTTCAAAATAAAAAGGGCTGGCCATATGTAGTTTAATAGAGCACACGACCTAGTTCAACCCATAAGTTAAAAAAAAAAATCCCCTTTTATTCTCAATATGAATAAAAATGGTATCTATTGTCTAGATCTATAATAATCTGTAAACTAGTTAAGATCATCATCATAACAAGGGAGAAAACCAACCTTCAGTAGACCCCCTGCTGAACTATAACATGCCTTTGAATGACTTGGGACAAAGCATCCCTGTTTCCTAGACAAAGGAGGTTCCCTGTGGCCACACAGGGCTTGAGGAGCAGAGTAAGGGCTGGGTTTTGGTCTGCCGGCTTCCTCATGCCCTGCATGCACACTGCAGCCACAGTGGCCAGCCCTTCAGGAGCCACTGCAACAGCCAGGATGTTACTGACTCAATGAATCCAATGTACAGCAGTGCTGGTTAGTTCATATGAATACAAATTACAGCCATTTAAAGAGGTGAGCCTTAAAATCGTCACTTCTAAAGCAGTCTTACATGGAGTGGTCCTCATCACAGAGAAGCTGAGAATTTCTACTATAGAAACAGCAGGAGTACACAGAAGCTTTGAGAGAGAGCTGAAATATACTTGGGCTTGGTATAAAACATACAACCTGCCTTGTAAAACTTAGCATCAGAGTGATATGAAACAGCTCAAGGAAGTGGAAAGAGAACAGCACCACACAGAGGCTTAGAAAAAATTTTATTAAGTCACTTCATAAAATCTTTAATGGACAAATGTCTGTATGTTGGTAAACAGACAAAATTGGATCTGAAAGCATCTTTTGATTTATTGATCTTTAGGTAAAGCTTTGCTGTCCTTTTTATTTTAGGTTGAAAAGGGAAGGAATACTCTTCCCCCCCCCCCCCCCCCCCCCCGATTTTCTGTTTCTGAGAATTTATTCTTTAAGGTACAAGGCCTATGGAATTCAAAGAGTTCCAATCCCAGCCAGCCAAAGTGATGCATGCTTGTATTCCCAGTGGCTCGGGAGGCTGAGGCAGGAGGATCACAAGTCTGAGATCAGCCTCAGAAATTTAGGGATGTCCTAAGTAATATAATGAGATCCTATCTTAAAATAAAAAAATAAACTGGGTGTGGTGGTGCACTGTAATTGGGATTACACCTGTAATCCCAGTGACTCAGGAGACTGAGGCAGGAGGATTGCAAATTCAAAATCAACCTCAGCAATTTTTCGAGGCCCTAAGCAACTCAGCAAAAGGGTTGGGATGTGGCTCAGTGATTAAGTGCCCCTGGGTTTAATCCATGGTACCAAAAAAAAAAAGAATTGTATATTTTGTGTTTCTCATGACCTTAAAACCTGAGTACTAAACTCTCACACTAGTACTTAAAAAGGAGTTGTTGCTGGGTGAGGTGGTGAATGCCTACAACCACAGCCACTTGGGAGAATGAGGCAAGAAGATCATAAATTTGAGGCCAGCCTCAGCCTCTTAGTCAGACCCTATCTCTAAATAAAAATACAAAAAGGGCTGAGGATATGGCTCAGTGTGATTAAGTGCCCCTGAGTTCAATCCCTAGTATCCAAAATAAATAAATAAATAATAAAAATAAAATAAAAAGGTCTAGGGATGTACTGATATCCTTTATCAGGGAATGACAAGTCACTGAAAGCAAAATTCCAGAAATGATCCATTCCTGTAGATGCATATATAAACTATAACTGCTTAAACAATTATACCTTGCTAATTGGCAACTAGACGTAGATCATGGCAACCAGTCTTATGCCGAGGTATGGAGTACTGAGGGAGAAGAGATCACTAAGTCATGCATAGGCAAAGGCAGCAAAGAAAAAATCATTATAAAGAAAAAAATGTTTGGCTTTTGTTGCCCAACCCCTAACCACACATTCTGCTTTCCTCTGGCTGCTGGTCTCCCATAACACAGACTCAGTTTTGTTTCCTGGACTTTGGCAGCATTCTAGTTGTCAGTCTATTGTTGCTCTTAAAATTTGGCAGGCCCGGGCCTTCTACAAGACGGTCACTAGCTAATCTAAGGAATGGACCACTCCTGGTATTTTTCATAAACATGTCACTCATGGGAAACGTTTTCTAATATCTTTGTGTAAGTTACTGGGGGTTTATGCAACAACAAACTAAGTTGCTGTATGACCTTGAGACTTCGAGGCTTCAAATGTGTATGATATCCTCCAATTATACCTGTAAGTGGTAGCTCACTCCATAGCTCCAACCTTATACAGATGGCCCCCCACTTACAAAGGTTCAATTTAACTATTTTTTACTTTATTATGGTACAAAAACAATAGGCATTCAATAGAAACCATATTTTGAATTCTCATCTTTCTCAGGCTAGTGATATACAGTACAATACTTGGGGGCATCAACAATGAGCCGTAGCTGAAACTATGATATTGTTGGATAGTTAATTTTTTTTTAACTATTAGTTGTTGATGAACCTTTGTTTTATTTATTATATGTGGTGCTGAGAATCAAACATAGTGCCTCACACATTCTAGGCAAGCGCTCTACCACAGAGCCACAACCCCAGCCCCAAGTTAGTTAACAATTTTTAAGTTAAAACTATGAAACTGTTGGAACATTCTTATTGTATGATGATTTTTAAAATAGTACTTGTCACATTGCTGTTATACTAAAAAATGCCCACAGTAATTTTTTCTAACTTCCACTTAAAAATCTGTGTGTGATCACTTTGCAGTCTTTTAGCTAAGATTAAGTATCATATCTGTTCTTATCAGTTCAACATCTGATATGTCCTCCATCCAAAGACAATATTTTAAACTTATGCCATTTTTTTAAAACGAAAGAAGAGATATGTAGTTAACAGAGCCAGTGTGTTTTAGAGTCTTTAAAAGGATATTTTTAGTTGTAGATGTACATAATATCTTTATTCAACTTATTTATTTTTATGTGGTGCTGAGGATTGAAATCAATGCTTCATATGTCAAGGCAAGCTCTCTACTACTGAGCTACAACCCCACTAATTCAATGAATAGTAATCATAGAGTATCCATATTATATATCCAGTGTCTGCTAATCAAATACATTTTGATGTCTACACTATGTAGGTAGTAATGCTCTGGAGAAATTAGCAAGTTCATCTCTTATGATCAAGATCCTCAAATATGCTTTTTAAGTCAGTGAATTCTGTACTATGAATCAATTTTCAGAAATATAACAATGGGGGCTGGAGTTGTGGCTTGGCGGTAGAGCGCTCACCTCGCACATTCGAGACCCTGGGTTCGATCCTCAGCACCACATACAAAAATAAACAAGTGAAATAAAGGTCTTGTGTCCAACTACAACTAAAAAAAAAAAAAAGGAAAGAAATATAACAATGAATAAGAAACCACCTTAGGGATGTTTGCTATTGATCACAACTTGTCATGATCATTCAGTTATGTGGGAGAAAGTTCATCAGAGGATGTTCTATTATAGTTGATGTGACTTTCACACTACAGATTCTTAAGTTTTGAATGTCTAATACAAACACTAATTTCTTTTCAAAGATTGAAAGAATCTTTTGCTAAGTGCTGTGCAGTTATAAACAGAAAATGTAATTATTTTAGAAAATGGGTAATTAAATACAACCATTACTTGATAATTAGCTATTGTAAAAATTTATGTGTGACTTCTGACATCACAGATCTGTTGTCTATGCCCAATGGCAAGCAGAAGGCTGAGTAATTGATAAGTTGAGAAAGCTATATACAACCCAAAGTACATGCTAAGCTTTACCCAAAGGTGTCACTTTTTTGCTGTTGTATTTGAGGGTTTTGGAGATGCCTTATGATGATAGTGGCAGCCTTTGATGATAGTGAGTGGTAGCCTTAAATACCATGGTATAGGTATTTAAGTAGGTAAGGTTGAGAGCCTTCTGGTGAATTTCATATAGACTTATCTTTTTTGTTTTGTTTTGGTATCAGGGATTGAACCTAGGGGCGCTTAACCCCTGAGCCACATCCTCAGCCTTCAGGGTCTCACTGAGTTGTTTACTGCCTCACTAAGTTGCTAAGTCTGGCTTTGAACATGTGATCCTCCTGCCTCTGCCTCCTGAGCCACTGGGATTACAGGTGTGTGCCACTGCACCTGGCTAGACTTATTTTTTTTATGTTGTGTATTCATATATTTTTAAATATATAGACTTGTCTCTTGATAGAGCATAACAAGAGAATCCTTTTCTCCCCAATTACCAGACTGAACACACACCACACACATACACACTAACACATACCTCCTTAAAAGTCCCTGGAGTGATGATCAGCCGATAAGTTATATACGTCGGGATGCAGATGAAAGATGAAGTTCCTATGCAGTAACCCAGGATGACACTCCAGTGAGGATAATTATATTGGAAAAGTCGTAGCTGGGGTGGGCTCATCAAAAAACTGCAAATGATGAACTAAAAACAAAGTCCAAGAAATATTAAAACTCTTAATATCCATGCAGATAGACACAAATTCTGGTACCATAAATGCTAAAGATACTGTTGAGATATATTCTAGATTAAACTCTGACACACAGAATTATCAATTGTACCTAAGTTGCACGAATAAGATAGACAGGTGCTTCTCTTAGTTTTCCTCACCATCCCTCCTCACCTCAGGGCCTGCAGTGGGATGTTACAACATCCCTACAATTACCCCTAAAGGGAGAGAAGTTACAGTCCCCACTTTAGTGCAGCTCTGTGCCAGGGAGAAGAAACTGCATCCAGCAGGAGTGAACTGTGTGACCTCTCCACAGCACCTGCCAGTCATAGGGCTTCATATTGCTCTCTGCCTTGTTCCATTTTCCCCGCAATGATTGTTTTTGGTCAGATGGCAGGTGCCTTGTGTCCAGGAGAGATAATAAGGTTCTCAAAACCCAAGGAAGACTCAGCCTCCTGCTTAAGTTCCTTCTGCTCTTTGCTTTCTGCATACAACTCCCACAGCCTGCGGTTTCAACAAGGATGCCTCTGCGGTGAGGCATCTTAACAATGGATACCTGCCTGCCACAGGTCCTCATAGTGAAAGAAATTACAGAAGAAAAAATGCAGCTTATTACATTTTTCACTTGAAAATTCCATGAAAAGTTTGACCAAGAAAAATTCCACAGAGCTCTTCTAATTTCCAGTTTATGAGTTTTCTTATTTCAGTTTGGTTTCCAGAGAGAGTGTAAATATCAGTTTTTGCCTAGTAACCACTGTGCAGAAATCGTTATTGCAATTGATTTAATTTTATTTTATTATTTCATAGTCATAAAGAAGACAGTAATGTAAATTATTTGTGTGGTTAAACATCTATTTTTATCTTTTTTTTTTCTTTGTCTGCAGGTAATAAAATGGGAAGATGTTAAACACACATCCATCTTCTGAGCAGTGTTATCCTAAGTCCAGGAGGAGACCTTCAGAACCAGGAGTCCAGTTAATCACAAACCATTCTCTACACTCTTTGTTCCCAGACCTAGCTCCTCAGGAAGGTAATCTGGGAACAAGGAAAGAGAGGGTCTGGTTAGGAGCCAACCCTGCCAGAACTCGGCTCTTCTTGATGTCAGGTATGTGAACTCCAACTCAGCCAGGAGGGCTCAACTCTAGCTCCAGAAACCTTCACGTGGCCCAGCCTCTCTTTGCTCATACACTATATTTTCTTTTGTTGTAACTTGGCTTTAGTGAAAGGGAATATTTTTAGTAAGTTACTCGTTGTTTACCTAAAGCAGCCTTTAAAAGCCCAGAGCAGGGGATCTGTTAAGTAAACGTAGAAGTGGAAGACAGATTTGCCTCTTCTTAATTGGGCACTAGAGCACTTGCCTGTGGAAGAGGGGAGTAAAGCAAACATCACGGGGATTGTGACTAATGAGCCTGCACCCAATTTGGTACTTGGGTTTTGCAGGGGAAAAGAACTCAGTGAGTGTGCCCCTTCTTCCTCTTTTGAAAAACAAATGAAAGGGTCTAAGTAGATTATCAAGAAGCACTGGTAAGAATATGAATTAATAACCCATTTACGTCAGGACTTCTTATGGTAACAGAGGGCCAGGTGATTCAGTGCAACCCTCTCATTGAAAACAACTGAAACTTCTGCATCATAAATTTGTTTGCCAGGCATGGTACTACTCGCCTATAATTACAGCTACTTAGAGGCTGAGGCAGGAGAATTCCAAGTTTGAGGCTAGCATGGGCAACTGAACAAGACCTTACCTCAAAATAAAATAAAAATGACTGTAGCTAAACTTAGTGGTAGAACATTTGTCTACCATGTGCGAGGTCCTAGGTTCAACCCAGAACATCAAAAAATAACTTTATATGTTATAAATGTACACTTACGATTGGACACTTTTCTGTGTATGTGTTATATTTCAATAAAATGTCTGGGGGTAATTTCCCCAGGGCAAGAAGAAGAAAAGAAATGACAACTCACCAGGAGAAACATAGGGCTGATGGCTACCCAGCAGATCCTCCAAAACCATCCAGGGCTGAAGCCAAGCATTTCCTTCACATCACTGCAAAACTGAGTGATCCCTGAAATCATCCGAAAGAGAAAGAGACTGATTGAGATGATCGGGACAATCCTTCTATCTCCTGTTCTCAAGGAGAATCAGGGTCACTGGGGTCAGCACTGAGAATGACAAGAATTCCTATCCTGAACAGTGTAGCAGTTCTGGAATTTCTCCAAGAGGTGCTCAGGGACACCAATCTGGTATGAAGGGTCACAAAACTGCATTTTTAAAGCAAAGCTCTTTCTACATAGAGCAGGTTGATAGGCATTTGGGGAAAGACGGAAAGCTGGCATTGGTACCCATACTAAGATCTCAGTATAAATATGATTTTACTGGTATTGTAGAAAAGAATGCTGAATTTTGTTTAGGGATGGTGAACCAGCCTGACAGAGACAGGCTTTCCACCATACACTGCAAACTTTCAAGAGAATTTTTAAACCACAATATTGCCCATTCATATGCCAGAGCAAGATCAAGTTTCTTCTATAAAAAGTTATTGGCACAGTGAGAACAGAGAACTCCCATTGACAGAGGAAAAACTGAGAAGCGGAAGGTGTTTTGCAGCTGCTTCCCTGAGCACTCCCTGCATATCCTAGGGCAGGCAGGTCTGCAGCAATTCATACACTTTGAACTTTGTCCTCTGAATTACAGAAAGGATTTCTTTCTTCCTTCCTTCCTTTCTTTCTTTTTTTGTTCTAATTAGTTATACATGACAGCAGAATGTATTTCAAGTCATTGAACACAAATGGAGAACAACTTCTCATTTCTCTGGTTGTACAGTATGGAAGAGAATTTCTTTTTAAAAGACCAGACCCATGTGCAACTCAAAACACGCTCTTCTCTCTTCTTAACACGTGTAATCACTACAATGCTAAAGCAGTTTTATTATCATAGAAAGTAGAAATTCAAATAAATTTTTTAGAATGAGATAATAGCTTCTTGATTTTAAAGAGGCATCTCTGAACTGGTGTTCTTCATTTCAATTTGACTGTGCCCTAAAATCCCAGGGCTCCTGGGACCTCTGCCAATAGACCCATCTCAGCTCACTCCCTGAACCCTTGGTGCTTCCACCCTTTATCAAATTCCATCCCAGGACCAGAGGAGGGTGATCTGGGAGTCTCAGTAGGGTAGATAATGCAAATAAGAGCATCTTTGCCTTTTTCTTAGAAGATCAGCCTAAACTCACTCTCAGGGCTTCTGGAGGAGATGTCGCTTAAGAAATTTAAATTTGAGACAACTCTGTTTAGCAATTTATTGTGCATTCAGCAAATGAATTCACTGTACATGAATTCTGTGTTGTGGTTCAGGATCATGAATTTCTCAGCCTTCTTCCACTGGGTAAACATTCAAACTTAGAAAGGGAAACATGTCTATCCCCAAGGGTGCAGGCAACATGCTGTACAGAGGGCAGAGGGAATGACGGACTTCTGGAGAAGGCACTCAACAGATTATTTAACAGATCCATCAGGAGGTCACACCTTGTCAGCTGTCCCTTTCTGTCCTTCTTTGATGAAATCAGCCCTTCTCTGTGCTGTGAGTAGCGTAGTGGGGGCTGAAGGAAGATCTTACCATAGAACCAAGACACAGCCACTGCTTCTATAAGCACGACGGTGAGCACCGCGGGACCCGTGGCATATTCTTCCAGCAGCTTCACCACATAGGCCCCTCCCTGGGGGCAAGACCACAGACCTGGTTAAAGGCTGCCCCTCCCTACTGCACAGGACTGCATACGCTTCTGAACATAGGGTAATGCTGGGAAACTTCCGCCTTGGACTTAATCTGTCCCATAGCCTCAGCTACCAATGCTTTACCATTGCAAGTTCTAGAAGAGACACGTGGCATTACAACATGGTAAAGCACCAGCTTCCAGCTAGCATGATGGTACATACCTGTAATCCCATCAACTTGGGATGCTGAGGCAGGAAAATCACAAGTTTGAGGTCAGCCTCAGCAAATTAGTGAGTGAGGCTATCTCAATAAAAAATAAAAAGGAGTGGGGACATAGCTTTGTGGTAAAGTGCCCCTGGGTTTAATCTTTAACATCCCACCCCACCACACCCCACCCCAAAAAACACCAGCCTCCAGCTTGCCTCACACATGTGAGGCACTGGGTTTGATCCTCAGCACCACATAAAAACAAATAAATAAAAATATTGTTTTTCTCTACAACCAATAAAATAAAATAATAAAGACAGCAGGGCAATATTCCTGTGAAAGCAGCCCTAAGTATTAGAAATAGACTGGAAATGCAAACCCAACCTAATTTTTCTCCAGATATTTTGCCAAGCTAGAAATGTAATTAGATCGATTATAATATGTGAAGAGCTTCAGGATAACATATCATGTATGATTCTACAAATGGATGCTGCCAGATAACTTTCCTTCTTTTCCTGGGTGAATTTTTTTTTTTTCCCTCAGTGCTAGAGATCAAACCCAGGACCTCATCTAGGCAAATGTCCTACCCCTGAACCACTCCCCAGTTGTGGTAACAAAATACCCCCTTCTACTCCCCCCACATAGTGCCCTGATTTGGAGCTTCTTGTAGCTGTCTGCTGCCAGCTCAGAGCTGAGGGCCACGATACTCACAAAAGTCAGGGTGACCAGGGATCCAATGAAGCAAGTAACCACCACAGCAAGCACAAACCACTCCCGGCGCTTGGCCCAGATGTGTGGAAACTCATCTAGCACAGCCGTGATCACACCCTCCAAGCCTGCAAACTGAGAGGTACATGCAAATGGTCACTGTGGAGGTTTTGGGACAAGTCTGTGCCTTCAGGGCAGTGTACAGGAAGAGGAGTAAGATTGCTAAGTGATCAGTCAAGCTGATCATAACCAGTTCCCCCAACTCACTGGTCCATGAACACACCTGGAAGCCTATTTCCCTTATTTACACTGTATTTAGAACCCATTTCTGAGGACATCCAGGAAAGAAAATACAATATGAGGACTGAAACGTAATATGTGAGGTCTCCTGGGGAGACAGTCTGCATCAGAAAGGCCAACTCAAAACTGAGTCTCACTCCATGGTAATAAGGCCAAGGCACTAAGCTAAATGCTGGGCAGGGTAGACACAGAAGAGACCTTGTCCTGGCCTTCAGGGTCAGCACACAATAAGAAATTCACATATGTGGAGTCTTCTCCTTTGCCAGGCACTTTCTTCACATGATCCCACTAATGACTCTGTAATGTAGTGGGGGCTGTAAGTGCCGTTGCTGAGCTTGGGGGGCACAAGGTGAGAGTAGCTAACACTGCCTGGGATGGCCAAGGTGGGAGGAATGGGTTCAGCGGCCTCTTCTCCTCTTCATCCTCCCAAAGCCTGTTTTCCTTCCCCATTTACTCACTGTGCTGTCCAGGCCCAGTGTGATCAGCATGAGGAAGAAGATGATGGCAAAAAATGTGGATGCAGGCATGTTGGCTATGGCTTCTGCATATGTGATGAAGAGGAGGCTGGGTCCTGAGGGCGATGAGGAGAAAAGAAAGGTGGTTGCTGAGATGTGTCCTACAAAGATGTCACAGGGTGACACTCACTGACTACAATTCTCATCATAAGACACGTGAGTTGAGCTTTGCCATGTACCAAGTGCTTCCTCACACTCCACACCATCTTACCTGGTCACCTGGGAGGTAGGGAGGAAGGAGCACACACCTTGAAAACTGAATGCCCTTAAGTAACATGGGGGGTGGGGAAACAGAACCAAGACCCCAAGACTAGCAAAGCTTCACATAAGAGTAAGAGTTTTCCACTGTATAATAACTTGGTGTTTTATTTCCAGGGCCAGGACTGATATTTTTAAAGCCCCTTAGCCCCTCTGATATCTTCAGCTTCAGAACAGTAGAAAATGGAATAAAGACTTCCTGCCATTTTTAAAGCCACTTTTATTAGAGTGAGGGACGTGTTCTCAATCTCTCAGGGGCTAGCTAGGGGTGCCCTCTTTTGGGGAACAGGGTTGGCCAGAGTACTGCATCCGGCCAAATACACAAATATGCTCTCAAGAAAACCCCGGGACTCCATCCACTAGATCCTATCAACTTGTTTCCAACATCTGTTACAGCAGAATGACCACAGCAGCTACATTTTTCTATAAGGGGAAGTTCTAAGGATTAGTAACTTGATTTGCCTACAAGACTGCATTCATTATAAGACCATCACAGGACCCAAATCCACTGGTTTCAAAGCCACCATCCAAGCCATATTTTCAAGCCTATTGTGTGTTAACGGCCCAGTGCTGGGTGCCAAGGGACTTGCTCTATCGCCTGTGGCTTTGAACACACAGAAAGGATCAAGATCACCAAGGCATTAAGTTTCTCTCAAGTCCTAGAAATTTTAAAGAGCCATTCGAAAGTTAGATATTTGTAAAGATTCAAAGTGAAGCAATTCAAAAGAAACCTAGACAGAACCCAAGGTCCTACCTGCATCTTTGGCCACCTCTGATACATCTTCATTCCTCATCTCAGCCATGTACCCGAGCACAGTGAAGATAACAAATCCCGAAACAAAGCTGGTCATGCAGTTGACCAAACTGGTCACCAGGGCATCTCTGGAGTGGAAAACCCAAGGGACATGAGACGGTTCTGGGGTGGGGAGTGCAGCATTATCTGTCTGCATACCAGTCTCACCAAGACACACCACTCTGGCTCAAAGGACCCCTAACTTTTCTGGGTCCCTCTCATTCCCTCAGAGTCCAGCCTCTCAGGCTTGAAGTTCAAATACCCTGACCATCACATGTGGGGTGGGTCAGTTAACAGGTCAGAGGTGTTTTTTAAGAGGTGGTTCTGCTATGAAACAGCACAGACCTCTCCATTTCAAACAGGAAATATCTGTTCTGGAACAGGGGCTAGACTGGAGAAGGGGGCAGGAGGCGGGGCTTTGGCCTCACATTTTAAAATTCCTCAGATTTAGATGTTTGACATTATCTTCAAATGAAGTCACAGGCTGCCACAGAGATATCTTTTTCCCCCAGGGTCTTGCACGTGTTCAGGCCCTCTACACTGAACTATACCTCTAGCCCTTTTTAAATTTTTAATAAGGGTTTTGCTAAATTGTCTAGACTGACCTTGAACTTTCATTCTTCTTGCCTCAGCCTCCTGAGTAGCTAGGTGTAGTATAGGTGTATGCCCACTGTGCCCAGATCCCTGGCACTTTTAAAAGACCTCAATGTACAATTTCAGATTGGTATCCCAGTGTAAGGCGACATTGCTTTGGGTAAATGTGAACCCTCGCCCCTATCTTTTAAAAAACCCAACTCTATAATAATGAGTTGTGCAAATATATTGCTACACATTGTCCTTGGTGATGGGAATTAAAATAAAATCTAGTCTAGAGGTGATGAGTGACACATAATGATAATCAGTGCAACATTCCCTGCTTTGTTAAAATATCTAAAGTAATATTTTTCTATGAAAATTAATAGCATTTTAGGCTGGTCAAAAAATCCAATCAGCCAGTTGTGATGGTGCACACCTGTAATCCCAGCTATTGGGGAAGCTCAGGCGGGAAAATTACAAGTTTAAGGTCATCCTGGGTAACTTAGTGAGACCCTGTCTCAAAATAAAAAATAAAATGGGCTGCTGATGTAGCTCAGTGGGAGAACACTCCTGGATTCAACTCCCAGTATCACAACAACAATAACAACAACAACAACAAAATTCAATCAGTAAACTTTTTGTGTACATATATAACAAATTTATCACATTATAATTTTGTTGGTAAATGTATTAACCAAGCCCAAATATTTAATTGCATTTTGTAATTTTTGTAAACCTGCTGTGGAATTTCTTATTATTTTTATATATAGGGATTTTTACAAAACAGAAGTGGCCTGGGGACTCTCTCAACCTCTGGTAAAGTTGTAACCTGGACAGATGCTCTGGCCAGAGGTGAATGGACAGAGGCTCATGGTACCTGTGAGGGGCACTGTCATCATAGCCAGAGCCTGGCCAAATTTGAAGCCATAGGTTTCGTAGCCTTCCTCCAGACTGGCTTTCACTCACTCTATTTCCAAGCCTTGCTTGGACACCCCAAATACTCACTGGTAACAGTTGTTGTTGAACTTGTTGTAGCTAGCAAAAGCCAGGAGGACTCCGAAGCCTGGACCAAGAGAGAAAAAGATCTGAGCAGCAGCATCGATCCACACCTGGAACACAGCAGAGGAAAGGGCACGGGGTAAGAGCGAGACCCAGACTGACACTGGGCACCAGCAGAGATTCCACATGACTATGTGCAAGGTAAAAAGACCAGCTTTCAAGGCTCATTTCAAGGATGGTCACACAACCTAGTGCAAACACACGTGACTTCTCTTCCCTATTGTCATTTAGGTTTAAAACCACCCAGTGGTGTGTACTACTTTTTTTTTTTTTTTTTGGGGGGGGGGGTACTGGTGACTGAATCCATGGGAGCTTTACCACTGAGCTATATTTATATCCTCAACCCTTCTTATTTTTTGAGACAGGGTCTCACTAAGTTGTAGAGGCTAGCCTTGAATTTGCAAGCTTCCTGCCTTAGCTTCCTGAGTCACTGGAATTACAGGCATGCACAACCACGAAGATCAACTGTACTTTTTAAAAAACTTTTTTTTAACCTTTATTTTATTTGTTTATTTGTATATGGTGCTGGGGATCGAACCCAGTGCCTCATGCATGGTAGGCAAGCACTCTACCACTGAGCCACAACTCTGGCCCTCAACTGCACTTTTCATGCTTGTATTTCTACAGCATTATTGCAGACTTGTATAGTGAAAGTAAATTTCAGTCGTCCCTACTGTCTTAACTGAAGGGGAACTGGTTTTGTGTAGTGGATGACAGACAGGTACACACTATTTCCCTCAATATCTTACCCCTGTCTCCAGGAGTTTCTGCCAGTTGGGTTTCAAGTAGAAGAGGACACCCCTCCAGGCTCCAGGGAGGGTGGCCCCCCTCACCAGCAGGATAGAAAGGATGATGTAAGGGAAGGTAGCTGTCACCCATACCACCTGGAAGGAAGGAGAGTGGGAACACTGTTATCGCCTATTTCACAGAAAGCAAGGAAAGGGGATAGGTTGGTATCAGTGTCTTAAGTTGTAGATGGACACAATATCTTTATTTATTTATTTTGATGCTGAGGACCGAATCCAGTGCCTCACACTGAGAGGCAGGTGCTCTACTGCTGAGCTATAGCCCCAGACCAGTATCAGTGTCTTTTATTCCTAAAGATCTACAATAAAGGAAATCTATCTCTGTTTTGTCTGTCATTTTCAGGAGGCAAAGTGGGAAGCAGAAAGATCACTGCCTTCAGAACCAGGCAGATGGGGATCTGACTCAGCTTAGCCAGTACTACCTATCTCTAAGCCACAGCTGTAAAATGCGACAATGTCTAGCAGGAAATAGCCTGTGGAGATAAAAGCACTTACCATGGCCCATGGTGGACTTGCAGTAAATTATTGCCACTATTGGGCCATGGGTATATATATAATTGTTCTTAGGACTAGGCCATTTCTAGAATCTTCTAACAGATGTGATAGAAAAAGAACACCATGGAATGTAATAGGTGTTGAAAGAGACAGTGATCATCCCCTGACCAGTAGCTGTTCAGGCTACTGGGTTTTGAGTTTAAGACCCTGTAGGGCCCCTTTGCATGCATGTATAAGCAGCCAGAGTCCTTCTCACCTTGCCAGAAGTTTTGACACCTTTCCAGATGCTGAAGTAGATAATGGTGAAGATGAGCATGATGCAGAGGGCAAGCTGCCAGCTGATGCCCCCCAGGTCCTGGAGTCCCTTAGACCGGTGGATCTGCAAGACATGGCGCCTAGAATAAAAGAAAAAGTCTGTGTGAGTATCTAGACAGTGACAGGAGCTCCCAGTTGTGATACCTCTAAGAAGGTGCCCAAGAAAAATGGACACTACACTGAAAGACCAAGTGTTCACCAAGCCTCAGAAAGGACTGGGATGGGCCCTGCTGATCCTGAAGGAGCAAGCAACACAGTCAGCCAACAGTCCCTGGGAAGAGTTCTCAGCCCCAAGATAGACTTCCTGATTTCTCCTTTTGTGGCTGGGACCTAAACCTCTTTGACCAATATGCTTGACTTTTGGGTACCTGAGGATTTGTGTGTGTAGGTAGCAGGCCCCCTCCCTTACCCTGGGCAGTAGTTCTGTCTTTGGGCTGCCTGAAATTCCTACATTAAAATAATGCTATCTTTTCCAAGCATCATCTTCCAAAGGTTAGATCCTGTTTATGAAGTCGATGCATTAAACCAGAAACTATTTGAATAGTTTCAAACTACTGAAGATCCTGGTTGTTTTGCTTTCATGGCAATTGACTGAGGAGGAGGAGCCAGGAAGAAGGGTAGTTTTGGTGTAGGGGAGTGATTTTAGAAAGTGAAGGCAGGGATCAGCTTGGACATGTTAAATAGCCTGTCCTGACAATGGGAAAGGTAGGAGATGGCGCAGCAGGTGGGATCGTGCAACACTCAAAACAGAGTTTCCTTCGGGTGTGGTGGCACACGCCTATAATCCCAGCAGCTCAGAAGGCTGAGACAGGAGGATCATGAGTCTAAAGCCAGCCTCAGCTAAAGCAAGGCACTAAGCAACTCAGTGAGACACTGTCTCTAAATAAAATACAAAATAGGGCTGAGGATGTGGCTCAGTGGTTTAGTGCCCCTGAATTCAATCCCCGTTACTCCCCCCACTCCCTCCCAACAAAACAAAGTTTCCCAGCTTCAAATCCTGCCAGATTTGGGTTCTGCCATCCCCTTTCTAATTCTCTCCTCCACCCCTGACAGTTGGCCAGGAGATTGGTAAAGAGCCCTTGGCTCCTGCCTGCTTTCTAAGAAGCCAAGTCCCAGATGTGTGGCCTGCCTGAACAGACCATCCTCTCCCGCACGCTTACGTGTAAAATTCTTCAGCAGGGGATGTGGAATGGAGTGTCCAGGTGATATTGTCCTCTGAGAAATAGTTGGTGCAGTTGCCAGTGTTCCAGGAATTCTTGCAGCTGGTCCAGGGCAGCTGATCCGTGAAGGAGGAGATGAGGTAGTAGAGCGCCCAGGCCATGATGGTGTTGTAGTAGGAGGCAATGTAAAAGGCAATGATGCAGATGGCATAGCCGATCCCTGGGAAGTGGGTAAGAGAGGCCAAGTTCAAAGGGCAGCCCAACAGTAAAAGGCTGAGCTAGAGCACAAGAGTCCCACAGCCTGAGTGAGGGGTTAACATAGATACTGTCATCCATTTCATTCCCCAAGAACGCTGGGAACGACTGGGAAAGAGTGGCAGTGTAGCCATTTACTTGTATATGTGCAAGCTTTCATGTTTTTAAAGACGCATGTGAGCCCTGTTGATGTCCTAAATTTTTAAATTTCAGTTTACTTTTTAATTGCCATTTGTTCTGTTTCTTCTTAACAATTTCATAACACTTGAGCAGTCACAAACTTGATGACTCAAGTTGTTTCCCAGATATAGCTGAGACCTAAGTGTTTTTAGAAGCAAGTTCCCAGCTCCCACCCATTGATGAAAATGCCCCCACTGACCCATTCAGCAAACCCTTCAGTTACCTTTGAAAATTGGGCAGATTTTCCTCCATATAGAAATGCATCCATTTCGGTGGTACTGGCCCAGTGCAAGCTCCATGTAAAAGAGTGGAATTCCCCCGAAAATGGCCATGATGGTGTAGGGGAGAAGGAACGCCCCTGAAGCAGATGAAAGACAATTTCACTCCCTGACTACATCTGTCCTAGAACAATCCAATTGATCTGGACAAGAAGGCTCATGTTGAGGACCACAGAGCCACCCTGTGCTGAGTGACCTACACTGTCCTGCCCTGGTCTTGGTGCTTTGCCTGAAGTAATAATAGACAGAGCTGCACAGCTAAAAAGAAGTTTCAAGAGGAGGCTGAAAGAGTAAATGGAAAGAACACTGGGTTGGGAGTTGAAAAGGGCAGGCACTGGGAGCACCTCCACTTCTGGCTGCCTAGAGAAACCTGGGCCACTTCCCCTCTTTGAGCCCCAATGTTTTCCTCAATAAGATGACAGGGTTGAGGAGAGCTGAGGTTCCTAAACCCAGCCACACATCACAATCACCGGTGAGCTTAAAAACTCACCTCCAGATTTCAGGGCCCACCCAGATCTCCTGAAGCAGAATGTTTGGTGTGGGTGCAATGTATGATTGTTAAGCTCCTTGAATGATTCTGATGCAACCATTACAGGGTCCCTGGGTACAGACCACCTGTAATGAGCTATACAGATGCCATCATCAATGGTCACAAAACTAGAATTTTGTTCTTCTAAGTGTTTCCAGATACTTATTGATATTTGACTATATATCCATTAATTCCAGAATGATTTCTCACGAGCCATCTCTTGGGGGCCTGGCTGCAAGGGTAAGTTTTTCACAGAATAAGAAAACACAATATAAAAATAATGTTTTTGCATAATTAAGACATCTAGAAACAAAAATGTCCTTAATAATGCTTTTGGTCCTCACCTCATTTCAAAATTAAGAACAAATATGTGGCTATATTATGTCAATTAAAATAGAAGCTCTCCTTATCAAAGTTTGCCAATGTTTAAGATATCTGTAATAAATTTATTTTTTATTTATTTATTTTTTTAAATATTTATTTACATTTTAGTTTTCGGCAGACACAACATCTTTGTATATGGTGCTGAGGATCGAACCCGGGCAGCACCCATGCCAGAAGAGCGCGCTACCGCTTGAGCCACATCCCCAGCCCCTCTGCAATAAATGTATAAAAAAAAAGAAAAGAAAAAAAAAAAAAAAGAAAGCACAGAGCTATTGCATAACTATTGGTACTGATGTTTCCTTCATCTTAAGGCTGTTGGAAATGTTGGGGATTGTTCCCTTGCAGCTTGAGTTGTAGCACAAAGGGTGAGTCAGCTATGATTTTCCCTGATAACTTTCCCTTCTATAAAATGCTTTGCTCCTAGAAACCTTGAGGTCAGTGCAACTCAGAAGGGTCCCACATAACTTGCAATTACACTGGGTAAACCTGCCTTGAGAATAAAAAACCATGTTGTGTTTTCATGGTGGCCTTTGTCCAAAGGGTTTGCTTGATCAGCTTTAAAAGGAAATGTCACCAGTGACCCAGCCCCTTATCTAATGCTCAGGCTAAAGGTGAGTCTTTCCAAGGTAGAGATAAAGTGATTATGACTTCCGCTCCTCCCAGACCGAGCCCCTAAGCAGCTGCTTTTGCAGCTGCATGGACAAAAGTCCCTAAAAAATCTAGCAAATCTAGACTGCTTCATGTCAGGCCATGGAAGGAGTGAGGGTGACACAAATAAATTATCCCCAAGTCTTGTTTTAGCTGCCCTCCCAAATCTATTGCCAGAGCTCCTGTCAAACTAAATATTGATTGATTTGACACCCATTTTTGCATGTTGTTTTCCTATTCTGATAACAAACCCAATGCCTACATAGAGGCCCCATTCCTGTTCTCTCCCCGCCAGGTTCCCATGTCCACATCTAACTCAGCTACAATTTTTGATCATCTACAAGGTAATATCTGTGGATGCTTTAGAGTTACAAAGAGGAAGCAGATTTGGTCTCAGTCCTCAAAAATCTAACAATCTTATTGGAGACATAAGCATATCCATGCATGATTTGGAGTTGGCGATACTGTGGCTGGGTTCAGCCTTATACCCAGACTGGCAACTTAAGACTTTGGAGCTAAGTTGATGTCATTCTCTGACTTCACACAGGTCCCAAAGACCCAGGAGGATCTGAAGCCCTGCAGCAATCTCTCAATTTTTCCTGACGCAGATGTGACCCCTCCAGATACTTCCAAGAAGAACATGCCACAGAAGTAAAGAAACGGGACATAATGCTGCTGGCCATTCCCTCACTTTTGGCTTGGTCGGGGACGATGCTTGGACAATGCAGGATGAGGAGGCACATGGAACACTGATGATGCTAGAAACCTGTGAGGTCAGGTTTGGGAGAGCTCCTGCCCAAATCCTCAACCCAGAAAGCCTCAGACATGCTGATCTAAGTTTTTGGCTTACTAGAGATATGTCTTTTAGACTAGCATGAATGTCTAAGCAGCCATGTTCCCAGGCTCCTCTCAGTTACATGAAGCAGCTAAGACATGATTTATCCTTTGGCCTCCTGTGAGGATCTACAGCCCACCCCGTTTGTGGCTGTGATACTGACCTCCTCCATTCTGGTAGCATATGTAGGGAAAACGCCAGACATTGCCCAGGTCCACAGCATAACCAATGACTGAGAGGAGGAAATCCATCTTCTTGCCCCAGGTCTCCCGTTCCCCCTGATGAACCTCTGCCATTAGGGTGGTGGTGGCAGCTGGCATAGAGTGAGGAGTATCATCTCCTGCGCTAGGGCTCGGAACTGCAGAGTACCCATTGGACCTTTGGCCAGACTCAGCTCTTTCCTCTGTGGTGGGGACACCCTTCTGCAACACTCCATTTTTCTGACAATCCTCTCCATCCTTACAGGCTGACAGCACCTTCTGAGAATTCAAGGGCGTGGTCTCCATTCTGCAGGTTAGTAAATAATCCTGCTGCCCATCTGCCAAGGACCGGAAGGAGTCTTGCTGTTTGGGTTTGTGGATCTCCTCAGAGCTTTATGGTGGCAGGTTTGAGAGCTCTGCTGGAAAGGCACAGAGAGAAAGGAGAGAAAAAATTAGGCCTTGTGCTTGTCTTTGGTATTAACGCACTGCATTTCTTACACATTAGAAAATGGGATTATAATGCACCAGTTAAATGTGAGCCTGCCTATTTGCTGTACAAGAGTCAATCAAATCAACTCCATTTTCCAACCTGTACAGGCAGCAAATCACAATCAAGAAACCTGAAAGGAAACAACAGAACAAATACAGCATATCACCATCCAGGCAGGGTGGCACACACCTGGAAGACCAGCAGCTTGGAGATTGAGGCAGGCAGATTTCAAGTGCAAAGCCAGCCTCAGCGACTTAGCTAGACCGTTTCACATAAAAAATAAAAAAGGGCTGGGGATGTGGGTCAGTGGTTTAGTGTGCCTTGGTTCAATCCCTGGTACAAAAAAAAAAAAAAAAAGAAGCATATCACTAATATTCACCCAGGCTCTACTTATGAAAAAGCACTTGCTTCACTTTGAGGGGCCAGAATTTCACCCCATAGTTTGTTTAGATATGATCTAAAAAGCCAAAGAGCAAAGGATAGAGGCTAAAGGCCACACTTAGTGAAATACCCCGAGATCCTTGGCTGCGGGCTTTTTCACTCTTCTTTTACCCAGGTCTGGAAAGCAGATCCTTGTGGCCTCTGGTGTTCAGTCCACAGTGCTTGGCTCTTCAGCCTTCCCATTATGCCTCTGCAGGTCTCACTAGGCTGTAATTAGCTCCACTGCTCACCATTCATCTTCTTGCTACCTACCCAGCAACTCTTGTGGCCAAGCCCCTAGTCACTCTGCAACAGTGACAGGGCAGGCAGGCTCCCTCTCACCTGGAGAGCCAGAGAGAAAAGCATGCAGTTCACTGAGGCTGGTGTGCCCCCATGGGGCCAGGGTAGCCTATGCCTTTTTTTTAGTTCCCGGGGCCAGGGTGCAGTGGAGGCAGCTCTGCTCTCCTCTGGACTGAGGTCTGAGATGGCCAACGTGGGTAGAAAGAAATCTGAGCCCTTTTGGACTTTACACCTATGACCTATTATAAAGTTGCAAGGAGCCAAGACCTCCCAGCTCACTTGGTTTCTTCTAGGCCTGAGCTTTCAAACTCTTGAAACAGATTGGAAGTTGAAACATGTTTCTCCTTAGATCATATCATACCTTTGTAGAAATGGACAGTAAGCACTATTCACATCTCTGCTGCAGAGATCCCACATCAACCTTCCAAATCCAACAGTGAGAGATGGGCTAGAGGCTAAAAATGGCAAGTGTATGTCTCCTACCTACCTATTTGGGGCTTTCTGTGACTCTGACTTATCTATACATACAAATGTGAAGATAAGATGAGCACAACTATAATCCCAGTAACTCGGAGGCTGAGACAGGAGGATTGCAAGTTTAAGGTCAGCCTCAGCCACTCAGCAAGGCCCTAAGCAACTAGCAAAACCCTGTCTCAAAATTAAAAAAAACAAAAACAAAACAAAAAACAGCTGCAGATATAGCTGCAGATGTAGCTCAGTAGTAAAGCTCCTGGGTTCAATCCCTGGTAAAAAAAAAAAAAAAAAAGACAAAAACAGTTGAAAATTAGAACACAAGGTAATAACTTCACAGTGATGACTATGGACATAAATATTGGCAAAGATTAGACATGAACACCAAGGGATGAAAGTAATTAGGGTTTTGTGTTCCTTGGTTTCTTTTTATTTGTAAAGTGGAAAATAAACATTTTAAAGGGATTTATTGTTACCAAAAATATCTAAAGCACTGAGAGATAAATCAGCTCTGTGTAGTGAGGGTGTGTGTGTGTGTGTGTGTGTAAAGTGGGTAAACGTTCTATCCTATCTAGCTGTTTGGCCCTTGCCTACCTACCACACCCCAGACTCAAGGGAGCAAACACCATGGAGGAGAATATAAACTTCTGACAGAGCAATCTAAATAAAACCTCATTCTAAGCCAGGTGTGGTGGTGGACACCTGTAATCTCAGCTACTCAGGAGGCTGAGGCAGAAGGTTCACAAGTTGGAGGCCAGCCTGGGTAATTTAGTGAGACTCTGTCTTAAAACAAAAAATGATGGGGAGGTGCTCAGTGGTAGATTGCTTACCTAGCATGAGCAGGCTCTGGGTTCCATCCCAACAACCACAACAAATTAAAAAAAAAAAGAAAGAAAGAAAACCTCATTGTGTTCATGCTGCTGAAGTCTCTCTCCACGTCCTTGGGACCTCAACTAAACCTGTTTTCTTCCTTTTTTCTTTCTTTCCTTTTGGAATTGAACCCAGGGCCTTGAACATGCTAGACACACTTTGTATCACTGAGCTAAATCACTAACCATACACTGTCTCATTCTCCCAGGCCAAGGGATTTTTTTTTTTTAAGAGAGCATTGATGAGATGTCAAGGTTTCTTAAATACATAGCTAAGTTAAACCTGAACTTGGCAGTCTTTGGTGGTGTTGAGAAGGCCTCTGTTCTCACTCTGGCCTACATCAGTGACATGTTTTCCACACTAAACATGGAAGAACCTGAAGACCCAATGGCAGGGATCAAGAGCTTCCCCACAGGTGGCCAGGTGGCACTCAGCTGACAGAGCCTGCCAGGCCTTGCTCTTTCTTCCTCCATCCCCTGAAGTTTTCTGTAGGAACTTCTTCCCACTTCAACACTGCCACTTTCCACCCATTTAAACCCGAGAGGGGAAACATGGTCCATCTCAGTCACAGCTGTGACTCATTACCTTCCCTCCTTAGCAGCCAAACCATTTGTTCTAGATTTCATTTATTTTCTCCCTCAGGGCATCCTGCAGGGAGGGTGGAAAACACTTGTGGGTTGGTGGATGGGGGTGAGAGCAATGTGTGTTTTCCAGGGTCCTCAGCCCCGTAAGGCATCTGATCTTGATTGCTTCACAACTCTGATGAGCAGCTCCTGGAAGAATAATACTCTCTCCTCTATTTGTTCTGAGCCAGTTTCCTGAAATACCCCGCAGCACTTTTTAACTTGGTAAAAATAAGAAAAATCATGCCTGTTAAGAGCATCCTTCAGACAACCCATGACTTTAGGCTGCCTGTCTCCAAACACTGGGCTCTCCCTGTTCAGCTTTGCTTTCTGGGGTTTTCCTACTGTGCTCCCATCCTTGATCACAGAATTTGGGATACAAAAAAAAGTGAGTCACTTGAAACCACCAAACAGGAAACACACATCTCCTTTTCTTCATTTCCCTTCTTCTCCCAGTTAAAGGAGACAAACTCCTAGTTGTGAATCTGGTGGGCCAGGAGCAGAGACAGGGCCTGGGCCCCTGTCGACAGGCTCCTTCCTAGCTGTGTTGCCAGGACTCCTTTCCCAGTTTTGTGATTCTGCTGAACCCTCACGGGCCATTTCTACGCAGACCAGCAGATAACAATGGTTGAGAGCAGGCTGGCTCAGGTATTCAGAAGTACGAGTTGATAAGAAGGTTTCTGAATGCGCTCTTGAAAGCTTTCTTTTTTAAAAGATATTTTTATCCTGCTGGGTAGGAAGATGGCAAAGGAGGTCAGAATTATAACTGTGACCTCCTCCAGGTAGCTTTTGAGTTTCTCCAGGGCCAGAAAAAGCCCCCGAAGCTTTCCTTTGAAACTTGAATGGATACTATAGCCCCAGGCTGAAGCAGGGGACAGGCTGTGAATGGTGCATGAATACCCAAGGCAGTGTGGGACAGCAACCTGACCTTCTCCCAGGTTTCCACACCTGAGGTGTGCAGCTCCGTGGTGCAGTATACCCCAAGACAGTCATGATTAACTTTCTCTTCACACTCCAGCTTCCTCTTGGCTAATTCACTCTATTCCCTCCCACGAGTTTGTGGGGTGTGTGTGTGGGGGAGAATTGTTTCTATTCTATTTAAATTTGTGATCAAATCTCCATTCCTGTTTCCACACAACGGTCTCTGTAGCCAGGGGAACCAGTAACCGAAGGAGTAATTATGACGATTAGTCATAAAACCACCTAGCCCCTTGGAAATGCCCGTTGACTGTTTTTCTGTTGGACACTATAGAAATTTTGTACTTTGACTTCATGTGTCAAGAGCAAAGTGAATTCACATCTCAGGATACTGGATTTCCATTTTCCAAAACAAAACAAAACCCCAGCGTGAAGTATGGGTTGAACACTGAGATAAGATTAATTACAGGTCATCAAACCAAGTGGCAATTTGCATTCTCTATGCAGAGGGAGTCCAAAGTTCCCGAGGCATCCAAAGATGATAGGAATTACAGAGCTCTGATGCCTCCTGCGCAGTGAACACTGAACCTGGCCCCCTGCTGCGGAGAAGGAGTAACCCAACAAAGCCCTGCTGCTCGCCCACAGAACAGGCACAGTCCTGCCTTCATGGAATTCACAGTACAAGGCCAAATCTGGAAAGGCAGGCAGATTGCAGGACAAGCAAAGCAATGCCCTGGCCCATGCTTCCTCTAAGAGCTGTGGCGTGTGCCCTGTGGACATATTCCCATGCCTGCTGCAGCATGCTGAGATGCCCCATATTTCCAGCTCCAAAGCAGCCCTCAGGTTCAACTAATCTCCCAGGTGCTACCTTGAAGTTTCTGTCCCAAGACCTTGGAGTTTACTTGATTCGTCATCACAGGCTCCACTGGATAAAGCAGAGGCTGCATTTGTACCTGTCAGAGGGCTGCTGTCTCCAAGGTGTGTGGCATCACAGGTCACAAGTCATGGTGGCCCTTGGCTTGCCTTTCAAGCAAAATAGACTTGGGCTATCGATCAAGGGGTTTGAGAAAATCTGCTTGTGTTTTGGACATACAGGAAAGACATGAACTCTACTATCCCAGCCATCACCTCCTCCAGAGGATTCCTCATGAGAGTCAGTTTTATTTTTTATTTTTTGGAGAGGAATTAAATAGGGTAAAGTCCTCAGGGCTATTTGGGCCAGTTACCATGAGGAAAGAAAAATCTTTTCAGAACTTTCTCTGCCTGGCTGAGGAGAATATGGGAGCTCTGAGCTTGTCTGCACAGAGTGTCCAGTCTAGAGGACTAGTCGTCCATGATGGGTCTAGATCACTGAGAGGCTGGCCAAAAAGTACAACGGATTATTCAGACTTTCATAAAAAAGAAATGAATTTGGTATAAATGGGCATGAATAATTCTTTTCCAATGAGCATGAATAGCCAAGCCTAGATTAACTGACTTCCTGAGTCATTCAGTGATAGTTCTGTGTGTCCACAACCCAGAACTCTCCTTTCTGTTTCACAGATCTGCACTGAAATCCCAGATCCACCACTTACTGGTTGTGAGACTTTGGGTAGGTCACTTAATCTCTCTGAGCCTCCAGTTCATCCTGTTGGAAAGCAGATGGTTAATATTTGAACTTGGTCAGGACTGTTGTGGGGATTATAAAAGTATGATAAATGCTTAACTTAGCTTCTAGTACACGAAAGCATCAATAAACAACAGTGGGTCACTTCACTTCCACCACCACACACATGCTACCCATTCTACTTTCCACTTAACAGTCCAGTCAATTGGGCCTCACTGGTCCCTGCAGCTCCTGTCAATCAGGGGCTTAGGGTCACCTGGAAAACTTGAAAACAACACATCACTGGCCCACCGGCTTTTCTCCCAGAGACTGGTCTTGTTCTCAAGAGATCTGTGGGGTGCCAGGCATCTGCACTTACCTTTATTTATTTTTTGGGTACAAGGGGTTGAGCCCAGGGGTGCTTAAGCCACATCCCCACTAAGCCACATCCCCAGCTCTTTTTATATTTTGAGACAGGGCTTCACTAAGTTGCTGAGGCTGGCTTTGAATTTGCAATCCCCTGTCTCAGCCTCCTGAGCCGCTGGGATTATAGGCATGTGCCACTGCACCCAGCAAGCATCTGCACTTTTCACAAGTGCCTCAGCAGACTACTCAGGGTTCCATGAACCTTATAACACACCTTCTACACCCCCACCCAGCTTCCTCTGAGGCTTGGCTTCCTCCACGAAGCTTTCTCTTAACACCTCAGCCCAAGATGTCTCTCCTGATCCTGTATAATTTCTCATTTGCCACACAACGTTGATTAGCACTGTCACCAGTTATCCTTCTATGTATATTTGTTTTGTGTTCCCCTGGAAACAGGGGCCTGGGTCACACATCTTTGTGCCTGAAAGCCTGGCATTTGTGCAGCAGGGCTCTGCACAGGGACCCGTTCCTGGTTTTCTGAGCAGGATGCTCTTTGATGCCATAGACCTGAACTTTGGGCCAGGCACCACTCTTCCTCTTCCTGGGTCTATGTCAAATGTGGCCAGGTCCCATCCCAAGGGGCCCTGTGCCTCCCGCCTCCCCCATCAGGAGATGGGGAGATGATGGTGGAGAAGGGGGCCTGCCACAGCCATGACTTCACAGACTCAGGACTGGAAAAGACTGGCGCACGGAGGATAAAAGAATGAGCCAGGGCTGTTCTTTCAGACTTTGAACCGGCCAGGCACACCCAGCAACAGTCTGGATTCCAAATGTTCATTTGTGACTTGGTTCTTTGGCTCTTGGAATATACTTACTACCCACAGAAACCATTGTCAGAAACGGAGGCATCAAAAGCGAAAGCTGAAGGACACAGGATGAAGCCCCACCAAACAGCAGGGGAGGGGTGGCGATGAAATGGACAGAAGCATCTATTTATTACTCTTCTTTCTGGGTCTTGAGGAATATTAAATTTAAGGGCAAGGATGCAGAGAAACTATCAGATTCCTCGAAGGTGTCATCTAGGCCAGTTAAGGGCTTTAGAAATTGATGGCATGAATTTTTCTTATTCTATTTAACTTAAAAATTGTTGCAGAAAACAAAACTGCTTTTATTCTGTCTTGGTAACATATTTAAATGTGGACAAGACAGGGAAAGAGACAGGAAACTTAATGCAAAGTGATATGGTAAGATTAGGCATGTCACTTTTTTTCCCCTTCCCTTTTGCCATACTGGGAATGGAACCCAGGGCCTTGCTCATGCTAGGCAAATGCATGAGCTACACTCCCAGCCGTGACTTACATTATCAAAATAAAAAAAAGAATGTTTAGAAGGTGTAATTTGTGTAATTAATAGGAACAGTTCCAAACACAGCTTTGTTTCTTCAATACAAGTATATTACACAACTAATTTTCTGGGCACTGTGGCACATGCCTGTAATCCCAGCAGGTGGGGAAGTTGAGGCAGGAGGATCACAAATCTGAGCCAGCCTGAGAAACTTAGACCACATTTCATGATAAAAAATAAAGGGGCTGGGTGGGTGGGGTGGCACTAGGGAAGTGGTTCAGCAGTAGAGTGTCTTTGGTTTCAATCCCCAGTACCAAAAACAAAATAAAAGGTAAGTGGTGAGGAGGAAAGGGAAACCAGGCACATTTCTTAGTCCTGCAGGGAGAAGGAAGTGGGGAGACAGAGGAGGGAAAGTGGCTGCTAGAGGAGGGGGAACTTCAGAATTGGGGTGACATGGAGACTCCATATGGCACCTCTTTAGCTATAAGGTGAGTGAAGATTTGTACGTCACTGCTAGAAAGTGCCTGTATTCTTAGGTCAAGAAATTCTGAAATGTAGTGGGTGCGAGGATGCACACCTTTAATCCCAGTGGCTCTGGAGGCTGAGGATCTTAAGTTCAAAGCCAGCTTCTGCAATTTAGGGAGACCCCGTCTCAAAATAAAATATGGTTAAGTGCCCTGGGTTCAATCTTTGGTATGCCCCCCCCAAAAAAAATAAATAAATTCTGAATGTACAGTGAGTCGCATAGTTGGGGAATATTCATGGAAAAAAATCAGTTCTTTATTACACAGCATTGATCTGGTGGTTCCCACTGTGCACTCAAAGGAAGGCAAGAAATAATTCTGACGCCTAGCAGTTTACAATCTCAAATAGTAACCCCATAAACTCAAAAGGACACCATTGAGACAACAGGGGAAATTTGGCCTGTATATTCCATAACAGTTTTGTATGGATGTTTCCCTGGTATGATAATGGGGGTACGATTATTTAAGAGAGGTCCTTATTTTTAGGAGAGGCATGCGGTAAAGTAACTGGACGTCTGTAAACTCTCAAATGTTCAGCAAAAATGCATATATACAAATATGGAAATTATATATAATTACATATTATAAATAACATGTCAAATTTTCTATTACATATGCGAAAATAGATATATGTATAATTAGAGCAACTGCCTGAACAACTGGTGAAACTGGATGATTTATCTGATTTTTTTGTTCAAAATTTCTTCAAATAAATAAGTGGGAGGAGAAATATAATTCTAGTGCCTGGACCAGTGCTGGAAACTCCCAGCGGTCCCACAGAATGGCTCCGCTCCTCTCCACTCTACTCCCTTCCCCTCCCCTCCCCTCCCAGCCTCTTGCCTCCTTTTCCCTCCACGCAGCTCTTTTCCTCCAAAACAAGAGAAAGAGCCAGATAATTTGATTAGCATTTTTAAGGCACTGGCTCCAGGACTAGTGGGGAGAGAGAAAAGAGTCCATGCCAGGAAAGGCAAGTTCTAGGCCTGTACCCTGAGAGCCACCGCCCAGTCACCTCCCTTCACCTTCAAGATCTTGCTGGCTCTCCCACTCTCTAATTATAGGCCTCTCCTTGGAAGGGAAAATTCCCTTAGAGGAAAGTCAGTCAGTTTATTTTATTCAGCAGGTCAGTAACAAAGGAAATAAAATGCTCTTTTTTTTTTTCCTTGACTATGCTCCAAAAGACCACACAAAAATGCTAGGTGGCAAAGACCCACTGATGGCCCTTCTGCAGGTGTCCACCAAACCTGTGGCTCTGGATTCTCCCAGAGCACCCAGCTGGCTCTTTCCTGAGCCACTGGGAAGTGCTCTTCCAGGTCACCACCTGGCCTGTCACAACTCTTCTTTTACCTCTGCCCTCCCTACCTCAAATGATTACATGAAGAACAGGCTCTCAGGAACCCAGGAGACCCTCCCTTTTGCCATCTGTCACTTGTCGTGCCTGGGGACCCTGGGACATCATCTCCATGTCTCCGTGTCTCTGGAGTGCATCTCTGGTTGTGCAGTCCAGGGGCTTCTGGGATTAATGGAGGTCTGTCCTGTTGTGAGTTTAAAAATCAAGGGCTTAAATACCCATTAACAAGTCCCCTTGGTCCAGGGGTGGGTGGGAGCTAGGGAGCTACTGCCAGGTTCCAGGGTAGCTGAAAGAAAGAAGAAAATAACAAGGGGGCCTACAGCCTCACACCTCACACCAGCCTTTATCTCCACTCATTTTGTCACCTTGTTAGGCGCAGGGCTGGGAAGACACTTGCTCAGTTTAAAAGCATGTTGTTGACATTTAGTAAATGAGCATTCATCTTTCCAGTCACCAGAAGCTAAAAAAAAGATAGGGAGGGGGAGTGTCAGGCTTAAGGGAATACCCTGCAGAGACATTACTCACGCAAGAGCATTTCTAAAGACAGTACAAGATCTCCAGATCTCTGCATAAATGACCTCTGGGATGCAGCCCAGCTGGGTGTGGTGGCATATGCCTGGAATCCCAGCTATTTGGGGGGGCTGAAGCAGGAGGATCACAAGTTTGAAGCAGGTCTGGGCAATTTAGCAAGACCCCATCTCCAAACAAATAAACAAAGGGCTAGGGACATGGCTCAGCGGTTAGAGCACCCCTGGGTACAATCCCCAGGACTTGGAGTGGGGGCAGCACACAGAGTAGAAAAATAACATGGCCCATGGCGGGTCTTGTGCCAACCCTAGATACACAGTATACCAAAAATGACTGTTTTCTTTTTGGCCATACAGGTGACATTAGGAAAGGACTCAAGTCATGACCACATCCTGTTGATTCAAAATGCCAAAATAAAAGGTTAGTTTCATGTATTTTCAACCTGACCTCTCCTAGAAAGATGTCAATTTTACTTCCTTAAGGTGCTCTTACCACTGGGAACACAGACAGTGACTCCCCATAAGAACAGGGGTAATCTGTATGTAGTACTTGCTTCAAGTATGAAGAGACAGAGGCTTTTATCAAATGTTGGTCTCCATACTCATGCCTGTGCCACCAAATACCGAAGACCTCAGAGAACTGTGACTGGTTGGTGACAGCTCAGGGATTGGGACAGAGAATGGGCACAATCCAAATCTGTGCACGTGGAGGCCATTTCTATGGCACTACGCCCTAGGCATCTTGCAAAGGGTTTTAGGGGAGTCTGGGAACTTGGACCCCTATTGGCTGGGCATGGTTGAGGCACAGTATTTAATTTCCACATGTCAGAGTATGACAAGTCTTTGCCTTCCTATCAAACCTGAGCAGATCTCCAGACATCCCTAACTAGATAGCAACATCTGGGTAGAGTCCAAGCCCTTGGGCACTCTTGTACCATTATTACAGCTCATATATTATAGCTCATATTTTGTTTTGTTTGTTCGTTCCTTCTTTTTTTTTTTTTTTTTTTTTTTTGTGTGTGTGTGGTGCTGGGGATCCAACCCAGGGCTTTGTGCACACGAGACAAGCACTCTAGCAACTGAGCTACATCCCCAGCCCTTGTTTGTTCTTTATACTGGCGATTGAATTCCAGGGGCACTTTGCCCTTGAGCTACAACCCACCCTTCTTTCTTATTTTGAGGCAGGGTCTCCCTAAATTGCTGAAGCTGGCCTCAAACTTGGGATTCTCCTGCCTCAGCCTCGCTAAGTTTCTGGGATTACAGGTGTGTGTGCCTCTGAGCCAGACAGCTCACGTTTTCCTGAGCACAGAAATTATGACCACAGTTGCAGAATGAGTTGAAGCATATCATCACGCTACATAGGCACCCCCTGGTTCCTCCCTGCCATTTGCAGCTGAAGATCATGAGACCCAGAGGAGCTGGGTCTATTACTGGGAATAACTAAGGCTCCGGTTGCCTTCTCAACCAAAAATGACTGCATCATTTTCCCTTTGGCCATCCAGGCAACTTTAGGAAAGGAGTCAAGTCATGACCACATCCTGTTGATTCAAAATGCCAAAATAAAATGCAACTTTGCCTCAGGCAGTCCTGCTTTCTGTGCTCTCAAATTATTTGACAAGTATGAAGAAGTGGCTACTGCCACGAACTGGTTTAATTTCTTGGAATTACCTGTGTTTCTCTTTGGTGGATTCACTCAAGGTGTTTTGCAAGCCTGCCAGACAGAGCCCAACCCATGCTCCTAATCCCCTGGAGCCACAATCCTCATTCCAGTAACCCCACCCATTTGTGAAACCCTCCACATGCCTCTCCAGGTTTCATCAAAATGCTCAGATGTCCCTGAAAATCTCCCCAAGAGGAAATTTGGAGGCCGTGGAGATTCCATTACAACTTCAACATTATCTGTTCTCCCCACTCCTACATGTCCTATGTGTATTTCGTAAATAAGGAAACAGAAAAAAATGGGTTTGAATAGCTGGGCTGGTAGTTACATCTCTGAAATGTCCTGGGTGGATCACCAGAGTATTTCTGGGACTTTTGATTTAATGAGTAGTTTCAATCCGCTCGTAAATTCAGTGAAAAAAAAAAAAAAAAACCTACACCCAATCCAGCAAACCATTTTTTTTTTCCTTTTTTCTCTCTCACAATAATCCAAAATCCCCACACATTGTGGTGATTCATCTAATGCATTTCAGAGGTGTAACTTCTAGCTCAGATATACAAACCCACTTCTTTTAGTGGAGCTCAGTGGTAGAGCATGTGGTTAACATGCAAGAGGTCCTGGATTCCTTCCCTGGCATTGCAAAAAAATTTTTTAAAAAGGTACATTTTCACATGCTACAGAAAAACTTGCCTCTCATTAGAAGCCAAATAAAAATAAAAAAAGAACCACCCCAAAAAAAAAAGAAAGAAAAACTTGCCTCTCTTCCATACTGAACAGTCATCTCCCCCCCCCCCCCTCCTGTGAGACAAAAACCCCCGAGTCTTCAGGCAGCAGCATCTCCACACAATAGCAAGCTATGGGACAAAGAGTCAAAGCCATGTGTTTCCTTGCACTCCTACACTCCATGACACTATCACTGCCCCTAGCTCTCCTCCCTTTCACTAAACACAAATCCCAACGTTGTCATCTTAGACATTTTTTCTATGTAACTGAAGGCAAAACACATTAAATATTTGATCTCGTCTTACTATGATGAGAGCTAGCAGGCTCATAAATAATCCATTGACCTGGTTCATTTTTCTGGACAAAAAAATTGATTATAAAAATACATACACACGAGCTTTTGTAATGTCTCTTAGAAATCCTCTCCCTCTCCAATTCTTTAGAAACTCCAACTGGAAAAGGAACAATTCAATAAGAAAAGCCTCAGTGCAAAAGGAAATCTGCTCCTTAGCATTCGTCAGCTCCTGAGAGCCTTTTCAGAACAAATTTGAACGTACACATTCTTCAAGCAACTGATGGCTGTGCATTTTAGCCATGTAGATCAGCCCGTTGGAGTTTCGCATAAATTCTGAATGGCCTGTGAGTATCAGAGCCAGCAACCAGCTCTGCCAGCGAAACCAACCAAGCGCACGGAGACTCGGCCCACTTAAGTATCACTCAAAGATTTCTCTAGATATTTGGGCATTTGTGTCAACCAGAACTCTCCCTGCACAAACGCGTTTGCATAAAGCCACTTGCACGCGATGGCAGCAAAGTAAAGATCAAATATAAAACCACGGGTTAAAACTACAACTTTTCCCTATGCGCAGGACAGCACTTTGCTTTTTAAAGACCATCTTTACCTGGTCTTCCAGCTTGAGCTCAAGCGCTCGCTGAGCCTCCGCAAGCAATAGACAAAGAAGCCCTCCAAAGCGCCTGCAGCCCACAGACGCGCTCCACGCTACCCTCTCCTCGGGTATATCTGCGAGTGGCACTTGTCTTGGTTAGAATGGAGGGTGCGGGAGGCAGGAGCGCACCGCCCGGAGCGCCTCAGCAGGACCAGAGAGCTCAGCTGCACGACGGCTCCGCTCCAGGCAAGGGAGGGGTTCTGGAAAGAAACCAAGATCAGAGGCAAAAAGAAAAGCTGACCCACCTGCCGGCTGGGCGTGGGGAGGCTGGTACAGCGCTGGGGAGGCGGTGCGACCCTCGCGCCCTCGAGGCACCAGGGCAGCAGCTATGCCTGTGAGCAGCGGCGCCCGCGCCGCACTATTTGTACTCTCGGCCCCTCACATGGTCTGATCTCTAGATAGCCGCTGCCAAAGAGCTGTTTAAGAATTTTTTGCGTCACTTTGAAGCGAATAAACTTTATGTTTCACCGCAGCCGCAGCTGGGCACTCCTCTTAGACAGAGGGAGAGTCTGGGGCGCCCATGCAACCCCAGCCGTGGGAGGGGACGGACATCCCCCCACCCATCACACTCACTCGCAGTGCCCTCAGCCGCGAGGGACCCGAGGGGGGCTGGTAGCGGGCAGAGCAGAGCGAAGGACTCGAGGTGTCTACTCTTGAATCTTGCGGGGCGTGGGGCTGCTCCACTTCTAAATCCTCCCAAAGTAGCGTCTAGGTTTTCTCTTAGAACGATTTTTCTTGACCACCAACTCTTCCCCATCATCCCCATCCCGACGAGTCCTGCCTCATTTCTTTTCCTAAGACTTCACGGCACTTGGCTCCACTGATGGGACGTGAGCTCAGCCAGGGGGGGCCTCCTCGTCTTAACTCCTCTGCAAACTCGGAGCCCCCTGCAGCTGCACGCAGTAAATACTTGCAGAATGAATGGAAGACGCTTTCCTTTCGTTAACCAGCTACAGCTCCAAGCAGTTTTCAAACAGAGAGCACACGGGCTGATCTGCAGAAACGCCCGTGGTTTTCGACAAGGATCAGGCTACTTCAATAGTTGAATTATCTCAAGGGTTTTAAGAGGAGACCCCCCCCCCTTTAAAATGTTTTGGACACCTTTGTTATTTTATTTATTTATTTTTATGTGGCTCTAAGGATTGAACCCAGTGCCTCACATGTGCTAGGCAAGCCCTCTACCACTGAGTCACACCCCCAGCCTGAGCCCATTGTTTTTGAACCACATGCATATGTTGTTTTGCTAATTTAAAAAACTTACTGTTATCATATTAGTTTTTTGCTAAAATTATGTAAAAATTTTAAAGTACAGATGAAGTACTTGATTTGTGCAGAGATGTCATGGTTGGGACCAACCAATCAGCCTACCTCTCCCAATAGGAGGAGGCCAGGGGATACTGCAGTGAAATCAAAGCCAAAAACAAAGTAAAAATAACAAGTTTGCAGTTTCAAGAAAGCTGCAGCCCCTTGGCACATGGGGGGAACTAAACCCAGAAAGCCCAGAGCGCCCAGCTGAGCTGAACAGGCACCGGGAAGGACCAAGGACAACTGTCCGCAGGTGTGGTGAGCTCTGCAAGGAGAGGGATCAGCACAGGGTTTTGGTGCCACCTAGACACCAGGGAGGGGACTGCAAAGATTTGAAAGCATTCCCAGAGCACCAAGATGCCTTGGGGAACTAACTGCCTGGTGCTCAGGGGAACAAATTGAGGCTGGGGACCTGGGCAGGCTTGGGTATTTCATGTCCTAATCAAGTCCGCAGGTGACAGGCTCCGCACTGGGCTGCTCCAACAGTCGTTTGAACACAGTGACCTGCTGCATCCTTCCACTTCTTCAATGAATGCGTAAGTGCTGTGCAGACCAGGCGCTGCACGGATATAACAGCATCTTGAAGGAGGAGGCAGGGCAGACAGGGGAGCAAGTGGACCAAAGCTGAAGGAGGCATTGGGGATGACTTTGCTTCTGGCTAAGGACACTGGTCTCCACCCCATCTGTCCCTTATGCTGTCTAGACATGGCCTTTTTTTTTTTCTTTCTTTCCCGACATGACTTTTTAACACTGTTCACATTCTCACATAACTTGACCTCACCACTCCTGACCTTTCTAGGCTCTGTCCCTTCCCACGCAGCCACACCAGGCTTTCCTGCTTATGCCTTCCCTGTGGTGATAAGTGGCCCCTCCTACTGTGCCCTTTCCTCCCAGGGTCTGGGGCCCAGGGTTGGAACCTCCCAAGAGTGTCTCCTCCCCTTTTGCTCCTGGGTAGAGGGGCATGCTGAAAAGGACATCAGAGTCCCACATCCTGCACCTTTCCCCTGTCCCTTGTTACCTCCCTGGCAGGTCTGCTCAAAATTGATCCAGGTGGCCATCCCCTTTCAAGCAAGTGTCTTCTCCTCCTGTACCACGGGGGCTGCCCCATAGGTACAGCTTAGCCTCCTGCCCCATCTTGCTCTGAACAGATCTGCCTCTCACCTCCCATGCAGCACCTGCCCCAACATGCTTCTGATCCCCATGGCCACCCTTCCTTGCTTTCCTCTGGGGTCCTGCCTTCCTCCCTTGCCAACATCCTGGGTTCTGGAGCCCTGTTTGGTGGCCGGCAGAGCTTCACTGGGCTGCCCCTCCTCACCTGGATGGACAGACTACACTCCTAGGCATGTGGGATGATCTACTCCTCCTCCATTGCAGCTCCTTCCTGACCTACGCTGCTGCAGCTGAGCATGACAGAAGCCACATACGTCCCTGTCCTTAAAGACCTGGGGAGTCTGGGACAGGGTTGTACTGACCATGGCAAGCAGTGGGAACCCTGAATGGAAGAGGCACAAGGAAAACTGTGTTTCTGGGACAGGACCTAAGGCTGTGACCAGCATGGGTGGCAGGTATGGAGGGGAGTCAGGGTTGGGGGACCAGTGCACACAGGGACCAGATGCAGCCCAGAAACACAAACTGGAACCCACAAGGCTTAGTGCTGATCTCGTGTATGAGCAAAGTGATGGAGATGTCAAAGCTGGTGGCCGGACCCCAGTGACTGGGTGGAGCCGTGGCAGATACCAGCGTGTAGCAATACTTTCTCTTTCCTTCATTAGCTCAAGCTCAGGACAGTGGGGCTTAGAGCCTACTATTCAGGGGCAGAATAAGCAGTCTTTCCTGGAAGAGGTTGGGAACACATTTCAATATTTATGTCCTCCCAACATATCACCAAGACAACCCACTTCCTGGAAGTCTCAAAGCCCAGCAATGGCTCCACTGTGGAGCCAGGTCAAGACAACAAGCCTCTCCTTCTGGAAGCCCCTGGTGCCTTCAGTCTATTCTGCCTCTGTTCTTGTCAATATGATAAAAGAAGACAAAGACCCACCCCAGCACTCTTGGCCAGCACCCTAAACCCTCCAGGAGCACTCGCTGGGCAAATGCTAATTCTCTTAACATCTGGACTCTAGCCGCCCCCCCATGCCAGGCACCTCATCTCAGTGATCCCATAACTAACAGCCAGGCTTCGCCGTGGCCCTGGCCTTATCCACTGCCCCATCTAGATACACAGAATAACTGTCCAAAATCATGAAATATGTGTCAAATTAGTGTTGATGTGAGTCACTTGCTGCCCATGCTCAGACTTCATGGATAATTGTTTCTAAAAGAGGAGAAAAGGGGGAAGCAGCAGGTATGGAAAGTTCACTGATACATAAGGAGAAGTCAGGGGGGACACTACCCAACCAGGCTGACTCCATGCTCTGTCTGTAATATCTTTGAACCAGAGGTTTTGATTTTTACCTTCTTCCCAGGAGATTCCTTCCCCTGGCCGTCAGCACCCTTAGCTAGGGCCACCTCTACAAGGCTTATCTTCTACCTTGGTGTAGAAGTGAAGCCAGAAGCACAGGGTACCAGGAAGGGCCCCTGGCCCTGTGTCCACAGATCCATTAGTGCACTTTGATGTCTCTCTAGCTGCCCTGTCCCCCATGAGGCTCTGAACCTCCCAGGGACCCGGCTCTGCCTCTCAGCATGTCTTAGAGCTTCAACTGTCAGCATCCAGCAGATGCCACAGTATGTCGAATGATGATGAACAGGACGATGCCTCTTACTCTACCTAACAGACTGGGTACTACATTTCCTAGGGGCTGGGAAGGAAATGGTGCCATATCAGCAATGGAGTCCCACACAGCAGACAGCAGTTACATAGGCAGCTTTATACGGGCTGTCTTGGGGAGTTCCTCAAGATTTATTGATAAATAGGGGGAAATCAAAGAACAGAACAGGGGTCACTCCCATTTGTTGACAGCAAGAGGGGGCTGTTAGCTGTGCCAAGAGCTCTCTGTGTGCAGAAGAAACAGGGAACAGTGGGGACCTTGGTGGGAAAGGACACTAGGGGGTGAAAGGGAGCCCATTTGTCACCTCTTTTATACTAAAAGTATATCTGCCATGAGTAGGTGATACGTCCATAAAACTTTTCAGAAAAGCCACTTTTTATTTATTTTTGATGCTGGGGATGGAACCCAGGGCCTCATGTGTGCTAAGCTCGTGCTCTACTGCCAAGCTGCACTTCCAGTCCCCCAGAAGCATTCTTTAAAATTATAAAACATAAAAAAAGAAGGGAAAAAGTAGGGGGGGGGAAGGAAAAGAAAAAAGAGAGGAAGGAAGGAAGAATAGAAGAAGGAAAGAGGAAAAAGACATTCTAAGGGCCCCATGCTTCTTACAAAGAGGGGAAGGACCCGAGGATTCCAGAATGCAGCTCTGCTTTATGCCACACAGTCACGCTGCCTTCCCCAGTGGGGTCAAATGGCTCCCCCCATTGTCTTTTGTTTTGTTTTGTTCACTTAAGGAGGAAATTTATTTATTTATTTATTTTTAGTAAGGATGCTGTGAGCCAAGAGAAGTGAAGTCCAGTGTTCTGCTCAGAATCAGATCAGAGGGACAGAATTATTTTGAGAACTCTTTGCTCCCAGCTCCGGAAGTCATTCATCCAGTGACTTTTCTTTTCTTTTTTTTTTGTACCAGGGATTAAACCCAAGGGTGCTTAACCACTAAGCCGCATCCCCAGCCCTTTTCATTTTATTTTGAGACAGGGCCTTGCTAAGTTGCTGAGCCTGACTTTGAACTTGCGATCCTCCTGTCAGCCTCTAGAGCCGCTGGGATGACAGGTGTGCGCCACTATACCTGGCTCTATTTCCATTTTTCTGTATCCTGCTTGAAGATTATAAAATACTCTCTTGGGCTCTTCTTTCTCTCCATAGACTTCGAGATAACGTGTGCCTCTGTGTCTAGGGAATTTCCTCTCAGTTCCTTCTTGGTAAACTGGTCACCCTCATCTTTGATGGTCAGAAGTTAAAGTAGTCAACATG